CCCGAACATCACAGCAACTGTGCCATCATCACACTTACAGATCTGCAGAGTATTTCACAGCTTGCGTGACAGACCTGAGCAACTCAGCATTTTGGCTAATCTGTTTATTTAAATATAAGCACACACGGAGCACTGCAACATGGCTCCCTCTCTCTCTAGCATCAGACAGCGAAGAGAAAAAGAACAAAGGACAAGAGTCCCACTTCACGGAACACAGGAACACAAACATCCTGTCTCCGTCACTTCCCACGCTGTGGAGTCAAAGCATACACCGTCATGTGAAAGACAACAATCCCATGACTGCAATCATGGAGCAGGAATTCTAACAGAAAGTGGGTATTAATCACAGAATCATAGAGTTGGAAGGAGTCCCTTGGGTCCCGGGCAACTGTTATTGTTGTTGATGATGATGATGATGATTAAATTTGTATACTGCACTATATTCGTGTGGGAATGTTGTGGATAGTAGGAGAGGATATGTTGATTAAATATTACCCTTCCCTCACTCACACTAGTGAGCTGATAGTAGAATACATCCCACTTCACGGAACACAGTAACACAAACATCCTGTCTCCGTCACTTCCCACTCTGTGGAGTCAAAACATACACCGTCATGTGATAGACAACAATCCCGTGACTGCAATCACGGAGCAGGAATTCTAACAGGGAGAAGGCAAAGTTGCCTCTCCATCTTTTCATGATGGCTGTGACTTCGGAGAGGGGCGACGGAAGAGGCAGGAGCAGCAAGGAGGAAGTGAAGCAGCAGGGCACCTTTGCAGGGGCGAGGGGCCACGGCCCAGGACCGGTGGGGCCGGCCCCCTGCACCAGCCTGGAGCCCCCGAAGATGTCTCGGTTCCCTGGCGCATCAAGGTGTCGGGGCCTGGCAGGTGCGCTTGCCTTCTGGAAGGAGAAGCAGCTGCCAGTTCGGGTCTCATCACTCAGCTCTGCCTCTGTGTTGTTGTCGCCGCCGTTGTTAGCTTTAACCGTAACATTGTTTTATTCCCTTGATCTTGACAGGGAAAGTCGGAAGGCAAGGGAGCGTCTCTGGGGAATGGAGGCAGCCCGCTCTCGGCAGCTTTAATTAGGCATGTGAAATTCCCTCCGACAACAGTGACACTAAGCAAACTCAACACCGGAAAAGATTTCCGGGGGAGCGTGGAAGGGGAGAGAAATATGAAATTGCTCTCGTGCGGAGAGTTTGGGCACTGAGCAAAAAGCAGGCGAGGACGGCAGAGCTGTGGAAAGTGGCGAGGACGTCTAGTCTGGGCTTCAGTTCCAGGTTCAACGATGAGGAGGGGATCACTCTCTAAGTTCATGAGACCTCAGCTGCCATTTTCATTTTCCCACGGTCGCCAGAGCGCCCAAGGTGGCATCGCACTGAGGCATTGTGGGGGGTTTCAGGGACAGTCCCAGTCCCTGAGCCCTGGAACCATAGAATTGTAGAGGTGGATAGAACCTCAAGGGTAATCTAATCCAAAACCCCCACAAAGCATGAATCACACCTGACAGAAATCACTACATTTCTGAGCACAATTCAAAGTGTTGGTGCTGACCTTTAAAGCCCTAAACAGCCTCGGCTCAGTATACCTGAAGGAGCGCCTCCACTCCCATCATTCAGCACGGACACGGAGGTCCAGCTTCGAAGGCCTTCTGGCGGTTCCCTCCCTGCGAGAAGTGAGGTTACAGGGAACCAGGCAGAGGGCCTTCTCAGTGGTGGCACCCGCCCTGTGTAATGCCCTCCCATCAGACGTCAAGGAAATAAACAACTATCTGACTTTTACAAGACAACTGAAGGCAGCTCTGTTTAGGGAAGTTTTTAAATGTTTGATGTTTTATTGTGTTTTTAATATTCTGTTGGGAGCCGCCCAGAGTGGCTGGGGAAACCCAGCCAGACGGACAGGGTATAAAGAAATTATTATTATTATTATTATGGCCATTTTAAAAACTCCATTGAAGGAGAACCCATCAACTCCTGAGGTCTTCCATTCCACTAACTATTAGCAATTACCCTCGAAAAGTTCTTCCTAAAATTGAGTTGGGGGGGGGTCTTTTCTTGCCATTTGAATCGCGAAGTGTTTCGGCTCATGTCTCGCTTCAGAGAATGTGAATGAAGTTTGCCCTTAAATGTGAACTTAATCGAATATGTTCTCCTTCCCTACCTGGGAGCACCTGAGGTCAAAGCAAGGGTTCTGCTCACCCCTGTTTCCTCTGGAGCCACACTGCATTTTGTCCATTTCTTTGCTTGCACAACAGCATCAGGAGAGTCGAGAGGTGTGATGGCCTGGGATTCGGACTCGGAGGTTGAACCTGAGGGATCCCAGCCTGCACAGGATTCCCCGCCTCCAGAACCAGCTGAGCCGGGGCTGGGGCATGAGCCTGAAGGGTCCTCACCTGTGCTGGGTCCTCAGGTGCAGGCATCAGCTGAGTCTGTTCTGGCCCCTAAGGTGATGGAGGACCCATTGCCTGCAGGTGCTCCACCCGCAGCCCCATCAGGGGAAGGTGAGGTTGCCTCTGGGTCCAGTAACCCTCCAGCCTCTCCTGAGCTGCAGAGGCTCAGGGCAGAGAGGCAGAGGGAACTAAGTTCCCGCAGGAGGAGTGCTCGCCTCCAGGCCAGGAGAGGCGAGTCACCTGTGGACCGGGGCCGCCCTATGCCTCGGGGCAGATAAAAGCCAGCCAGCCCAGTCCCAGGTTGCGGGAGCAACATTGTTGGTAACCTGTTCCTGCCAGCACCCTGTCCTGCTCTTCTGCCAGAGTTCCTGACCCCACCCAACTCCCCGCCTTGGACCCCGCTTCAGCTTTGACGGACAGCCTCCATACCTCAGCCTTGGACTGGACTCAGACCTTGCCAGGACCAGCACAAGAGGCAAGCAATCCTGTTTCGCACACAAAACCGCCACAGCCAAACGTTGCAATCTGATTGAATTTTGCAATTACGTATTTGGTTGCCGGGGCTTTCCACTTGTCAACCCTGGGCAGTGATAGCGACAAGGAACATGATAAAGGCCTGAAAACACCTTCTCCCAAGTGCAGCCAGGGGATAAGGAGGATTAATAAGAAAAGGGGGGGAAATAACAGAGCCAGCCGTTTCCTTCGCTAATTAACAAACCTGCTTAATTAAGAATTGCCAGCCCAGACGCAGCAGCAGTAACTGCTGATAAACGAAAGTATATCTCTGTCCTTTCTATGCCACAATTGCACTACAGCGTGAATGTTCCCTATGTTTTGCAGTCCGAAGCACAAACCACCGTGAGGCCAGGAAATAATGCAAAACATCTGGAAACAGCTCAGGCTTGGGATTCGGACAATCTCCGCTGGGAAATGAATTTTGAACAGCGCCCAGTTTTGAACTCTCCAACCTTTGCTGCCAGAAACTGGAAGATCGATATGATGATTACTATTATTTCTTAGACATATATGCCGCTTTTCGTCGCAAGATCTCAGGGCGGTTGCAGCACACGAAACTATCAAATTAAAAACCAGAGCATTCCCCATAAAATAAAAAGTGTCCCCCACTCGACACTTCTGGGGGTCAAACCAGAGAGCCTTAAAGGGACCCCTGACCATTAGGTCCAGTCGTGACCGACTCTGGGGTTGCGGCGCTCATCTCGCTTTACTGGCCAAGGGAGCCGGCATACAGCTTCCGGGTCAGTGGCCAGCATGACTAAGCCGCTTCTGGCGAACCAGAGCAGCGCACGGACATGCCATTTACCTTCCCGCCAGAGCGGTACCTATTTATCTACTTGCACTTTGATGTGCTTTCAAACTGCTAGGTTGGCAGGAGCAGGGACCGAGCAACGGGAGTTCACCCCGTCACGGGGATTCGAACCGCCGACCTTCTGATCGGCAAGTCCTAGGCTCTGTGGTATCAGGCCAAGCCCAGGAGCCTGAGGCTGGTTCTGGGCAGGCGTCCATCACCACAAGTTCTCCTCTCGTGGGACATGAATAGTCATATCCAGGCCTTTTTTTTTGAGAGCCAGAGGCCCCGAGGAATGCTCATTTGTCTCCCATTCTCTCACACTATTCATTTCTTTCAGCCTTTTGCGGGGAAGGGAATGCACTTCCAGATAGGCACAGAATCTTATTTGAAGTGTCCATCACTTTCTCTGAGCAGGTTTCCATGGTACCCATCAACTTGGACATGGGCGAGATTCCTGGAGAAGTCGTTGTCGTCATCCCCCTGCATTTGCTCGACACTCCCTGCCACCATAAATGGCAAAGGTGTTGCCAGGGCTGGCCCAAGACATTTTTTATTTTGGGGGACAAAGTAATAATCATAAATAAATAAGAATAAAAATGTGCACCCCACTACTCTGTTGCAGCATTCGAGGAGCTTCAGTAATAGTTGCAAGTTAGCCATAAGAGTTAAGATATATTAAGAAAAAGTTGAATGATGATAAAAGAGTGTATTTGCAATAAGTAATATGAAATTGAAACAAGGAATAGATAGGAGGTTGGGTCTATAGTGCCAAGACCAACTTATGTTTTATTGTTAAGAAAATTTTGTGTTTATTGTTATTCCTGTGTGTAATTGTGTATCTGTGTTTTTTGTTTTGTTTTTTGCTGTATCAATAATAATAATAATAGTAAAAGTTTATGAAGGGCCCAGGGAGCCACGATTCCTTGAGTCCTTGCCGAGATGTGTTCCTCCTGAGTCAGAAGACTGGGTGAAAGCAAACGCCGCTGCTTTTCTTTCTTTGAAGAACCTCACTGAGTAATCAAAGCATTTTGCAATGAACCAAAACAAAGAACCAGGCAGCAACTTTTCATTATAGGTCCTTCATAGATGGTTGGATATGACATCCGGACACAAAAAGGTTCGATCTCAAGACAGGCAAGAAAATAGGGTTATTGTTCTCGCCGGAACAAAAGCACCTAATAGTAATTGTAGATATCAATATGCAATCAATGCCGAATAAAATCAGATCTGGCAGGAACCTGCCCACCGTGAGTTTGCTTCTTAATATGCATCAAAAAAGCAGAGACATCACCTTGCCAGCAAAGGTCCGTATAGTTAAAGCTATGGTTTTCCCAGTAGTGATGTATGGAAGTAAGAGCTGGACCATAAAGAAGGCTGATCGCTGAAGAATGGATGCTTTTGAATTCTGGTGCTGGAGGAGACTCTTGAGAGTCCCATGGACTGCAAGAAGATCAAACCTCTCCATTCTGAAGGAAATCAGCCCTGAGTGCTCTCTGGAAGGACAGATCCTGAAGCTGAGGCTCCAAGACTTTGGCCACCTCATGAGAAGAGAAGACTCCCTGGAAAAGACCCTGATGTTGGGAAAGATGGAGGGCACAAGGAGAAGGGGACGACAGAGGACGAGATGGTTGGATAGTGTTCTCGCTGTGACTAATATGAGTTTGCAGGAGGCAGTGGAAGACAGGAGTGCCTGGCGTGCTCTGGTCCAGGGGGTCACCAAGAGTCAGACACGACTAAATGACTGAACAACAACATGCATCAAAAGCATCTGCTATGTGGTGGTGTGGCCAATTGGCTTGGTGGTACCTTGTGAAACATGCATTTGAATGAGTAAACTTTCCTGAAATCGCGATATAGAATCATAGAATTGGAAGGGACCTCACAGGGTCATCTAGTCCAACCCCCTGCGATGCAGGAATCTCAACTAATGCATCTATGGAAGATGGCCACCCAACCTCTGCTTAAAAACCACCAAGGAAGGAGAGTCCACCACCTCCCGCTGCTCCACTGCCGAGCAGCTCTTAGTGTCAGAAAATTCTTCCCGATGTTCAGTTGGAATCTCCTTTCTTGTAACTTGAAGCCATGGGTTCGAGTCCTACCCTCCAGGGCAGGAGAAAGCAAGCTTGTTCCCTCTTCCACGTGACAGCCCTTCAGATATTTGAAGATGGCTCTTTTCTCCTCAATCTCCTCTTTTCCAGGCTAAACATCCCCAGCTCCTTCAACTGTTCCTCATCAGGCTTGGTTTCCAGACCTTTGATCATCTTGGTCGCCCTTCTCTGTACACCTCCCAGCTTGTCAAAATCCTCCTTAAACTGGCACCAAGAACTGGACTCAGACTATAATAATGGAGGCAGTGGGAGAGTCAGAGTTTTCAACTCTGTTTGAAGTAATTTCTTTTTTTTTAAGAGGTGGCACTGTGGGTTAAACCACAGAGCCTAGGGCTTGCCGATCAGAAGGTCGGCGGTTCGAATCCCCGCAATGACAGGGTAAGCTCCTGTCGCTCGGTCCCTGCTCCTGCCAACCTAGCAGTTCGAAAGCATGTCAAGTGCAAGTAGATAAATAGGTACCGCTCCAGCGGGAAGGTAAACGGCGCTTCCGTGCGCTGCTCCAGTTCGCCAGAAGCGGCTTAGTCCTGCTGGCCACATGACCCGGAAGCTGTACGCCGGCTCCCTCGGCCAGTAAAGCGAGATGAGCGCCGCAACCCCAGAGTCGGCCACGACCGGACCTAATGGTCAGGGGTCACTTTACCTTTACATAATATTATGCAACGATTTGGATGTAACGTTCTTGTTTTGAGACTCTATTTTGCAGCAAGTTCTGTCGGTGAAGCTTTCGAGCCCTATTTTTGACCGGACAAATTTTTATTTCTAGAGGAGCCCGTTTTCATTCATCCCATTGATTCCAAATGTGCTGTAGTGATAACCGCAATGAAGTCGACTCCATCGATCTGTCTGTTGTGTCAAGGAAAGGTTGCAGAATGGACCGGTCATCAAACGCCCATCTGGAGCCGCAGTAAAAAGGAGGAAGCAGTAGAGCCTCAAGGGGTGGGACCTGAGAAATGTGGGGTTGTGACTGGGCAGACGTGGGGTGGGTCTAACAGCACAAACGCTCGCCAGGCCAGTTCCTCTGTCTCTCTCTCTCTCTCTCTCTCTCTCTCTCTCACACACACACACACACCCCTCTTCCCCTGGGCAACTAGAGGAGGCCGTGAGGTCTGTGAAATGTCAGGGGGAAACCCAGAAAGCTTAATCAGCAACAGAAGCAGCCTTTGAAGGCCACTGTACCCCTCCTGCCTCTCCCTTACTGCTGAGCTGGACATGGTGGGTTTTCTCTGGCAAGACGCATCGTTCCGGAGGCTCTCATATCCAGGAAGGGAAGGAAAAGGAGAGAGAGAGAGAGAGAGAGAGAGAGAGAGAGAGAATGAGAATCATGGTCGTCATGGCAACGGCATAGGATGGAGAGCGGCCTGTTTTGCAGAACATTGGCCCGTAAACGGCTTTGTTTCCATGAGGGCTCTTTAGCGACAACAACGTCTGCCCCCCACCGGACACCCCAAACGCGTCATGCTGACTGCTGGACCCTTAATATCTCCAGAGCAATCCCTGGAAGCACAGGTGGCGGGGGGGCAATTGTTCAATGGAACAAGGAGGGCACTCTGCGCATGCTCAGAGACTCGCTGACTTTCATGACCAGGCCGTGTCGAATTTACGAACTTTCCAATTCCAAAAACGGGAGGTGCTGGGGGGGAAAGTTGTCACATGACTTAGGGAATCCCACAGATTTTTTGTTGTTGCTAAATAAATGCAATTCAGCTTTGCTTGGTCATTGAAACATGCGTAAAATTGCATAAAAAATGACTGCCAAGTGCTTGCACGGATTTGCACTGATTGCATCTTATTTATTATTGCATCCCTTTAGTACCACCTAACATTTTCAGAAGGTAAAATTAAAACTTCGGTTTCCCGAGAGCGGTTTCTGTGCTTTTTAATCAAACGTAGACCTAGCAAGCAAGATGTTGTCCAGTCACAAAAACAGAATAATAGAACCATAATTGGAAGGAACCCCCAACAGAGGGGGTGGAGAGGTTCTTGTGGGGCTCAGGCAAGGAATCCCTGGGAAAGGGGTCGTCTGGGTCCAGATGAACCTCTGCACAGCCTCCCAAGACTCATCCTCCAAAGAGATCTTGGACTGGACCTCAGTATCCAATAATAATAATAATTTATTTATACTCTACCCATCTGGCTGGGTTTCCCCAGCCACTCTGGGATGCTCCCATCAGAATATTAAAAACACAATCAAACCTCAAACATTAAAAGCTTCCCTAAACAGAGCTGCCTTCAGATGCCTTCTAAAAGCCAGATCGTTGTTTATTTCCTTGACATCTGATGGGAGGATGTTCCACAGAGGGAGGGCGCCACCACCGAGAAGGCCCTCTGCCTGGTTCCCTGTAACCTCACTTCTCGCAGGGAGGGAACCACCAGAAGGCCCTCGGAGCTGGACCTCAGTGTCCGCGCTGGACGATGGGGACGGAGACGCTCCTTCAGGTCTACTGGGCTGAGGCCATTTAGGGCTTTCAAGGTCAGCACCAACACTTTGAAAGGTGTTTATATAAATTGCTGCCTGCGGCAGAGGTGGCTCCCATGAACTATCCGTGTCACTTCCAGCGGGGGACATGAGCAGGAGGGGCTGTTGCGTTGGTGGTGGTGGCAGCAAGCCTTGGATTCAGCAAACAGCTGCAACTTTGAGAGCCTCAGTGGGGTTTGGGTTCTGAAAGGGATCAACGTTGGACTGTGCTAGGACCCAAAAACCCCTTTCCTCGGACTGGGGGAGACTCTCTCACCTCCTGAAAGTGAGGCCGGTGTAGTTCAGAGTCCGAGGCAGCTGGATCCTCAGGGTGAGGAAGAGCAGCTGTTCTCCACGCCTCTTGTGAGCTGTCAGCGAAAGAGAAGGAAAAAGGGTTCGTCCTCATAATGGAGGTAGTTTGCTGTGAGTCTCTGGAAATTCACCAAGACTTCCTGACAGCAAAGCCAGCTGACTTCCTGCCACCCCATGCCTGATTTTTTCTTTCTCACTTTTACATGCACCTTTTCACGCACATACCTTACCTTTCCCGCCCCGACCTGGCCACAGTGATCCATGCGACGGTCACCTCCAGGCTTGACTACTGTAATTCGCTCTACGCGGGGCTGCCCTTGAAGCTGTCCCAGAAACTCCAGCGGGTGCAGAATGCCGCAGCGAGGCTCCTCACGGGGTCTCTGCCATGGGAGCATATTCACCCAGTGCTTTTCCAGCTGCACTGGCTCCCGGTGGAGTACAGGATCAGATTTAAGGTGCTGCTTTTGACCTTTAAAGCCCTTCACGGCCTAGGACCCTCATACCTACGGGACCGCCTCTCCTAGTCTGCCCCACGGAGGACCTTAAGGTCCATATATAGCAACACCCTAGAGGTCCCAGGCCCTAAGGAAGTCAGATTAGCCTCAACCAGAGCCAGGGCCTTTTCAACACTGGCTCCGGACTGGTGGAACACTCTGCCTCATGAGACGAGCGACCTGCGGGATCTGATCTCTTTCCGCAGGGCCTGTAAGACAGAGTTGTTCCACCTGGCCTTTGGCTCAGAATCAGTTTCATTCCCTCCCCCTCTATCTTTTTCCTTTCTCCTCCTATGAAGAGATTGCTCCCTAACTGTTTTAATGTTGCATCTTAATCTTTAAATTGTATTTTAATCAACTTGTTTTTATTATTGGTTGTTAGCTGCCCTGAGCCTAGTCTTGGCTGCGGAGGGCGGGGTATAAATAAAATTATTATTATTATTATTATTATTATTGTTATTATTATTGTTATTATTATTTTGACTGGGCAACTGCACGGCAAAATTCAGAGATGTGCAAGTTCTGAAGGACGGCTGCTTTTGGGTTCTTGTTTTGTTCCAGGAACGGCAAGTTAGGCAGGCTCGCCTTTCAAAGCAACCTTCCCTATTTCCCCCAGACTTTTGGGTAATCATTTCACGAAGCTTCCACGCTTCTGTTTCCAACCGCTATCTGCGATACGTTTGGGAACGTTGCTTTCACATTGTTCTTATATCGTGTTAACGCATAACCTCCAAGTGTCCCGATCTTCCAGGGATGGTCCTGGAATTATGAGAGCCAGACCTGTTTTCCTCGCCGGCGCAGGGTACCACTGCATGTCCTGAGTTCGAATCCCGACTCGAATCGGCTTCTTAGTCATGGTCTTCCTTTTTTGTTGTTGTTGCTCCTGTTCTCCAAAGTGAGTACAGTGGTGCCTCGCAAGACGAAATTAATCCATTCCGCGAGTGTCTTCGTCTAGCGGTTTTTTCGTCTTGCGAAGCAACCCTATTAGCGGCTTAACGGATTAGCGCTATTAGCGGTTTAGCGGCTATTAAAGGCTTATCGGCTTAGCAGATTAGCTGCTAAAAGGCTATTAAAGGCTTAGCGGCTTAGATAAAGGGGGGGGAGCGGGGAAAAAATCTCAAGACTCGCAAGACATTTTCGTCTTGCGAAGCAAGCCCATAGGGAAATTCGTCCTGCGAAGCAACTCAAAAATGGAAAACCCTTTCGTCTAGCGGGTTTTCCGTCTTGCGAGGCATTCATCTTGCGGGGCACCACTGTAGTGG